AGGTCGGGCAAAGAAGAAGTATCGGCAGACGCGGAGGTCTGTCAAGACGAAGGTCGAACAAAGAAAAAGTATCGGCAGACGCGGAGGTCTATCAAGAGGATATTGTTTTTCATTTGTTGACTCACTATGAGTATGTATGTTTATTATCGCTTTATTCAAACTTTTGCTATGATACTATATATATATATATACATGCGTGTAAATTCCATTTACTAAGGCTATTTACAATACTTTTTTTAATTAATCTTAAATGAAATTGTAATGAATTTTAAATTTTTCATAGATTTTTTAATTAAGGCTATCAAATGCTTTAAATTCGTTTATTTACTACTAACATTCAATATTATATATTCACATTACCTAAAAAAATATGCTCTAGTCACGGACGGTCATTACAAGAAAAAATTATTTTTGTAACAAAAACTTTTTTGTCTGTAAATTTATTTTTTCCGTTACTAATGACATTAGAGACATAATTAGTAATGGAATTACGTTAGCTACGTGAATTTTAGGGACGAAATTCCGTTACAAATATATTATTTTTTGTAGTGGGTGCAATTAAGTAAAAAAAAAATATATATAATTTTACTATTGTTTAATAATTTTTACTACTTTCTTACTACTATGCAATTTCACATTTTAAAGAAAAGAAAGAAATATTATTCTTTTTTTACAAAATTTTATTATACCAAAAACACAAAAAGTAAAACAATGACACAAATATGAACTAAGTGCATTCTGTTATAATATTATTATAGGATTAATCAATAGAAATATTAATTATTTCTACCGCTAGCCACTATTTTATATATTATATATAATATATATTATAAAGTAAATATATATATATGTAACGTGTGGATGTATGTATAATAGGAATGTATGTATATATGTATTAAAGAGAGATGCACACAACTGAGAGAGAGAGAGCGCGAAATTTGATGTTGAATATTATTATCTTTCTTGATCATTCCACAAATGTAAGTAGAAAGGGGAATATATATAGTACATAAAGTATCATGCATTCAAAGAATTGTGCCACATGTATGGCTCTAATTGCATCCACAATATATGAATGTAGACACCTACGTGTTGTCTATATGTTTATTTATTGTATAACACCCCCCTTGAATCCATAAAGAATGTGTCTCGTTAAAACCTTATTAGGAAAAAATCCTATGGGATAAAAATCCTAGTTAAGAAAAAAGAGTACAACTTTTTTGTATCAATTCGTTCCCCCTTATCTGAGCATTATTTGAGATCCCTTAACCGACGCATCCCAATTTTCTTTAGCAACTTTTCAAATATTGCATTCGGTAACGCCTTGGTTAATATATCCGCCAAATTATTATTTGATCGAATTTGTTGCACATTGATTTCACCATTTTCTTGCAGATCATGAGTAAAAAAGAATTTTGGTGAAATTGTTTCGCTCTATCTCCTTTAATGTAACCCCATTTCAATTGGGTTATACAAGCCGCATTATCTTCATACAATATAGTCGGGAGAATTTTATCGTCGGGTATTAACCCACAATTTTTCAGAATATGTTGAGTCATTGACCTCAACCAAACACATTCTCGACTGGCTTCATGTATTGCCAATATTTCAGCATGATTTGAAGAAGTGGCAGTTAAAGTTTGTTTCATCGATCTCCAGGAGATCACAGTTTCGCCACAAGTAAATATGTAACCAGTTTGTGACTTGGCTTTATGAGGATCAGATAAATATCCTGCATCGGCAAAACCAATCAATTCATGTTGAGAATCTTTTGAGTAAAATAACCCGAGATCAATTGTTCCTTGGAGATAGCTAAAAATGTGCTTAATCCCGTTCCAATGTCGTCGAGTAGGCGATGAACTAAATCTTGCCAATAAATTTACAGTAAATGATATGTCAGGTCGGGTGCTGTTAGCAAGATACATCAATGTGCCTATAGCACTCATATATGGCACTCCTGGGCCAAGTGTTTCTTCATTTTCCTCTTTTGGTCTAAATGGATCCTTTATTGGATCGAGTGCTCTGACGATCATTGGGGTACTTAACGGATGTGACTTATCCATCAGAAATTGTTTTAGTACCCTTTTAGTATAATTTGATTGGTGGATAAAGGTTCCACTCTCCAAATGCTGAATTTGCAAACCAAGGCAAAAGTTAGTTTTTCCAAAATCGTTGATCTCAAACTCCTTTTTCAGATATTCAACAATTTTCTGGATTTCATCAGGAGTTCCGATTAAATTGAGATCATCGACATATACAACGATGATTACAAATTCAGACTCATTTTTCTTTATAAAAACACATGGACAGATAGGGTCATTTATGTAACCTTCTTTGGTTAAGCTTTCCCTGAGACGATTGTACCACATTCGGCCCAATTGCTTGAGCCCATACAAAGATTTTTGCAATTTGATAGAATATGATTCTTTTGGATTTGATTTGAATTATTCAGGTATGTTGATCCCTTCTGGGATTTTCATGTAGACGTCATTGTCTAAAGAGCCGTAAAGATAGGCAGTAACCACATCCATTAATCGCATATCAAGATTATTGTGTACTGCCAGGCTCACCAGATACCTGAATGTTATTCCATCCATGACCGGTGAATATGTTTCTTCAAAATCAATACCCGGTCTCTGGAAAAACCCTGGGCTACAAGTCTTGCTTTATATCTTGTGATATCATTATTTTTATTTTTTTTTCTCACAAACACCCATCTGTAACCAACAGGTTTCACATTTTCAGGTGTCTGGACTATAGAGCCGAATACTTGCCATTTTTTCAATGAGTCCAATTCAGATTTAATTGCGTCTTTCCATTTTTCCCAATCATCTATTTGCCGACATTCATCAACTGATTTTGGTTCATAATCCTCGTCATCTTTCATTATATCGAGTGCTAAAAAATATGCAAATGCATTATCAATATTTGTTTTCTTTCTGTTCCAATATTTTCCATTGGTGTTATAGTTAACAGAAGTTTCTATAACTTCATCCTCACTTTCATCAGAATTTTTAGTATCAACCTCTACAGGGGTTGTAATGACCTTTTCAGGTATCTGATCATTGTTGTTCTCTTCACCAGTATTTACAATTTTCTTCTTTCGTGGATTCTTATCATTGGAACCCAACGGTCTGCCACGTTTTACGCGGGCAGTATGCTCATTAGCACTCGGCACCTTCCCTTATGGGATATTTATTTTAGCTGGTGCATTTGCTGCTGCAATATATGATTTCGTAACTCTGGTAGCATCAATAAAAGCATCAGACAATAGATTTGCAATTTTCTGCAAATGCACAATTCTTTGAACTTCAAGTTCACTATGTTTCGTACGAGGATCAAATTCAAGTGATATTTTCCATGAAATTTCTTTTTTCTGTTGATTACTGTCTCCCTCTAATGTCAAAAAATATGATTCATCAAAATTACAGTCTGCAAACCTCGCAATAAAAAGATCACCTGTTGTTGGGTCAAGATATTTTGCATTCGAGGGTGATTCATACCCGACATATATACCCAACCTTCTTTGAGGTCGCATTTTTGTGCACTGAGGTGGCGCAATTTGAACATAAACAACACACCCAAATATTTGCAGGTGAGATATATTTGGTATTTTTCCAGAGACCAATTGAGTAGGAGAATAACAGTGATAACTTGTCGCGCTTATTTTCACGAGGGTTACTACATGCAATATAGCATGTCCCCAACATGATACGGGAAGTTTAAACCTCATTAACAATGGTTTAGCAATTAATTGCAATCTTTTGATAAGGGATTCAGCAACGCCATTTTGCGTATGTACATGGGGAACATGATGTTCCACAGTAATCCCAATTGACATGCAGTAATCATCAAATGTATGTGATGAATACTCTCCAGCATTATCTAAACGTATTTTCTTTATCCGGTGATCTGGAAAATGTGCTCGCAATTTAATTATTAGTGCAAGTAGTCTAGTGAAAGCTAGATTGCGAGTAGATAACAGACACACGTGTGAACATCGCGTTGACGCATCGATTAGCACCATAAAGTACTTGAAGGGTCCACACAGAGGATCTATTGGTCCACAAATATCACCCTGAATTCTTTCCAGAAAAGCTGGGGATTCAAATCCAGCCTATGTTGGAGATGGCCTGATTATTAACTTCCCTTGGGAACAGGCAGCACAAGCAAATTCATTCGGACTCAAAATATTTTTCTTTTTCAATGAGTGGCCATTTGAGTTTTCAAAAATTCACCTCAGCATTACATTGCCAGGATGCCCAAGTCAATCGTGCCAAGTTTTGAATTCGCTAGTAGCCATTTGGTCTGCTAGGTGATATGTTTCAGTGGCACTGATTTTTGAGTAATATAAGCCAGAAGAAAATGATGGCAATTTTTCTTTCACAATTCTCTTGCCATTCACAATCTGAGTAATCAAAAGATACTCATTTTCTGCCTCATTTAATGTTTCAATGTGATACCCATTTTTCCAAATATCACTGAAGCTCAGCAAGTTCCTTCGAGCTTTGCTCGAGAATATAGCATTTTCAATTGCCATTTTTGTCCCTTTTGGGAGAAATACAGTAACTTTTACTGAGCCTTCAATTATTTTTGATGCACCACTGATAGTAACAATAGTGGTCTTTCTCATATTCAGGTGGGAGAAATAACATTTGTTTTTCAGAATGTTGTGAGTCGTAGCACTTGTCGATAAGGCAGATGTTGTCATCGGCTCCAAAATATTCGGCATCCATATTTTTGCAAGAAGGTAAAAATAATAAAAGACATGTATTAGTAGCATAATCAAAATAGACTTATATTATAGAGGGTAATACAAAAAAGGGCGGCAGAAAACATCAAAATAACAAAAGAGATACAACAATATTTTATCATTTAACATCATCAGCTATGTCCAGCAGATCATCGGCATCCAGGTGCGTGATATTTTCATTCATCACATCGTCAAATGTGTCATCGTGGGCAGCGTGATTTGTTTCGGGGGTAATTCTTTGCTATCTTTATTTTGAGGACCGATACAGTTCAGCCAAGTGACTGGTTGTGCGACAAACATGGGCCCAGTGGCCTTTGATTCCACACCGGGTGCATTCCTCGTCATTATTTCTGTTTCTACCGATGTTGATCCTCTGTTGAGGTCTGTATGGCCTTCTGCCATTATAACGCCGATTTTGCACACATCGGGGCCTGTTTTGATAATTATTGTGACTATATACGTTTGCCCGAACCCGTCGGCGATTCTGATTTCGATCGCGATCAATTCGCGGATTTCCTACTTGCCCACGACCACGCACCAGATTTTTCAGCTGTATTGCATTTGCCTCTGGAAATGGATTTGCACCTGTCGGCCGAGATTCGTGATTTTTCAACAGCAATTCATTATTTTGTTCGGCCAGCAAAAGACAGGTGATCAGCTCAGAATATTTCTGGAAGCCTCTTTCGCGATACTGTTGCTGCAAAACCATGTTAGAGGCATGGAAAGTGGAGAAAGTTTTCTCCATCGTATCAGATTCAGATATATTTTCGCCACTGTGGCGCAGCTGTGATGTTATTTTAAATATTGAAGAATTATATTCTTGGACTATTTTAAAGTCCTGAAGCCGTAGGCTTTGCCATTCGCTTCGTGCCCTTGGCAACAATGTCAGCCTCAAATGATCATATTGTTTCTTTCAATCTCTCCCACAATTCAAGTGGGGATTCCAGCGTTACATACTGCATTTTCAGTGTCTTATCGATGTGATGGCACAAAAATATTATGGGCTTTGCACGATCTTTGCTCGGGGAGTTTTTATCCCGGGCAATGATATTTTCCAAGCCCATTGATGCTATATGCATTTTAACATCGCGAGCTCATGCCATATAATTTTGGCCAGAAACGAGGAGAGGGAGAAATTCCTGTTTTGCAAAGTTAGACATAATAAACAAATCAAATATAAAATATTACCTTGCGGAAATTAAAATACACAATCGTGCTGATAACGTGTTGTAATATTATTATAGGATTAGCCAATAGAAATATTAATTATTTATACTGCTAACCACTATTTTATATATTGTATATAATATATATTATAAAGTAAATATATATATATATGTAACATGTGGATGTATGTATATATGTATTAGAGAGAGATGCGCACAACCGAGAGAGAGAGAGAGAGAGAGCGAGAAATTTGATGTTGAATATTATTTTCTTGATCATTCCACAATGTAAGTACAAAGGGGTATATATATAGTACATAAAGTATCATGCATTCAAATAATTGTGCCATGTGTATGGCTCTATTGCATCCACAATATATGAATGTAGATACCTACGTGTTGTTACATGTTTTATTGTATAACACATTCTTAGTAATAATGGTCTTTTTTATGAAAAATTACTGTAATCGATATTTTATTTTTGAAAAAGATTTCACAATTTTTTATAGAAAAATATTACTTAATATATATAATCTATATTTTATTTTTGAAAAAGATTTCACAATTTTTTATAGAAAAATATTACCTAATATATATAATATTTTATAACACGTGTTATGCACGGGTATTTTAATATTAAATAATATAGTATTTAATTAAATTTGTATTAGCTTCATTTACTTTTTAAAAAAATTATAAAAACTAATTAACAAAAAAAATCATATATTAATTAATAAATGATGTGTTTATGTGTTCAGTTAAAAGAAAATAAAAGAAGATCATAAATTTTTCAATTTAAAATAACATGTACGTAAAAAAATAATATTAAATACAATGCATGTAAATTAAAACTAAAAAAAAATTATAATAACAATAAATAAACTTAACAATATATTTTAACAATGTGGGACAAAATATAACTTTATGAGAAATTATAAGTATGACTCACTTTCATAAAAATCATTAAATATATATAATTATATAATTTACTTTTATCAAAATAATAAATTTAATATTATTTGTATCGTTAACCTAGTATCAATATTTAAATTTATATTATTTATTATCATCGTCTAGCTAGAGGTCCAAATAAAATTACTTAATATTGATTATTGTCATCTTTATAATAATAATTATGATTTTTGTTGAAAATAATAGAACAATATAAATTTTATAAATAATTAGTCATCCGTTCCACATAAAGTATCTAATTTTTCTATTTTCGTCCGTTTCATATAATTTGTCATTTTCTTTTTTGGAAAGTTATACACATTAATTATTGTTGTCGTAAAAAAATTGCCACTGACGGCTTAATCGGAAAAGTCTGTCGAAATTGATTAGTCTGAAGGGTTCTCCGGCCTCCTCAAGAAAGGATCTGGGCTATCTCGCGATGATAAAACACTAACATAAAAATAAAGCTGATAAACAAGAAAGAAGACTAGAAATCAAACTGGAATTAATGAAAAAAAAACTGTAGAAAAGTGGAAAAAATTACATTAATGAAAAATGCAGAGAAGAAATTTTTAAGAAGAAGATGAATTGTGGAATCTGCGTGTGTTTTTTTCTTTTCACATCCCCTAATCTTGTTCATTTTTTTGAATTTATTTGAATAAGATTCTATCCCTAATTATTCTCCAACTAATTCGATCCTCCTTGACTACTCTCACTTCCTCCATGACCAGGCTTCCACTGCCTGCTGTGACACCTTCCAACCAAATTGGGCCCGGTTTGGGCCAGCCGAAAGCTGGGCTGAAACATCCTTCTTGGGCTGCATTATTGGGCTAGTCATATTCTTTGGGTGTGTACAAATGTCCCCACAAAATTTGTCTGAATACAATTAATTCGTAGTCTAGATAATTTTGTAAATTTCCTTCATCTATTCAAGATTGATTGCGTCCTCATCATATCACTGGTAAAACTCCTGTGTCAGTTCCTTCACGTCTCTCAGCGCGCTTCCAATCACCTCTTCCCTTATTCTCTCAAAACCCTAGGCTTTCGGACTCCGTTGCCTCTTATTCTTTCTTCCACTCTCACGACGAATCACATTGCTCCAAAATTCCGATGACGGCGGTCTCGGCGTTTGTTTCTCAGTAGCGGTTTGGTGATTTAGCGGTCCTAAGCATCCGTAGCCCGGCGTCATTTTTGGCAATTCTCGAGGTGCGGCGAAGGATCTTCTGGTGTTTGAGCCACGGGAGGAGCTCCGATGTCGAGGCATAAGGTGGGCCTCCAGGTTAGCCGTGATCTGACGGAAAAAGGGGCGAGCCAATCCCTGGTCGATGGTCGGCGCGTGCTTCTGCCTTTTCGTGAGGACAATGATGGTGCATTGTCTGAGGGTTTTGACAATGTTCTCGGGAATGGTAAGCTTCTACTTGCTCAACGTTAGTTTAAGTTTGATAGCCTTCATTCTTTCGTTTACCTAGTGATATTTGTTATGGATCTCGATAGATTAGGCCCTGTTTTTGGTGAATGGTGGCACAATTGGGGGATTCAGGATATGTTATCTTTGTGTGCTAACCCTCTTCCCCGAGACAATCTCATGTTGAAAGCCTTATTGTACTTTTGAAATTCGAACATTAATGCCTTTATTCTTCCATCTGGCATTTTAGCCCCCACTGTACTAGACGTAGGGATCTTAGGTTTACCCACGAAATGAGTGGAATCTCCTTTATCTCTGGCCCATAAGCCGGATCATCTGCCCATCCTGGTGCTTATGCTAGCAACACTACCGTAAATCAATTCTTTGCTTCTAACTGATGATGAGGCGATGTAGATCCTCCTGAGAATAATGCCTTCTTATTATACTGGTTTTGCAAATACTTCACTTGCTGCGCCTCAAAAAGGGTAGTTCGGGAAGCCGAACCGGTAGTGAATGCCATCATATCCGGGGCGGAATTGGATTTGGCTTCATATTTCCGTGGGTTGTAGCATCACAAAATTAACAATTTTCTGCATAAGTTGTCGAGCTCGTCCTTTTGCGACCCTGTGGGGGTTGATCCTCTATGGTTCCTTGAATTATAGGTGTTGCAATATTTCCCTAGTTTGATCAGCCCGCGCCGCGAATTCCCATCTAGCCAAGTCTCTACTTTAGGTCCTCATTTGGTGTCATGTTCTCCGTTTGGGGGAAATCTCCATTCTCTTACGTACTCCCTTCTCCATGAAACCGAATGTTTTGTCGGGTATAACACTAACCTAGACTGGTTAGGGGCTTTACATGGCGGCAGTCAGTCCGGCGCCAACGCCATTCGATAGGTTTTTTAGAACAAGTGCCTGGTCACCAGAGTTCTACTCGGCGGTCTTGCCGTTGGCTCTCGTTATAACCCATAGGTAGCAGAGGTGTACCAACCTCAATACTGTGCCCAGAAAATCGGGCTGATTTAGGGAGTTCCTACTTTGGGCTTCCTCATATCACCCCCACTTGATCCGGGCCACAGTTTCGAGGTGGCCGTTTTCGATGCTTGGTACACTTATATCCATCATGTGGGAGATCTCCCTTGTCCCCCATCCAGCTTTGAGCCTGGTGCCTTAGCGTCCTTTGGGAATTGGTGGTCTCATTTTTGGGCACAACCAGATTTGACGGCTTTGAGGTTAGCATTGGTCAAGCTAGTAGATGAACGCTCCAGTGAGGAGGGTGTGTCTGACTCAGGTTCGGACAAAGTGGAAAAAGCTGCCGTCTCTCTGTCGCCAGGTAAAATTTCCTCATTTTTATTAGCGCTCTAGACTTTTATGTAAACTGGTATTTTTTGTAATTTTGCAGATGTTGTTTTACCCATGGGTGTCCGAAAAATGTTGGCCTCTACCTTGGCAATCCGGCGCTCTCAAAGACTAACTTCAAGGGTGGCCGTCCCCAAATTGCGGCCTAAACAACCGGTGAAAAGGCCGGCTCCTTCGCCACCTTCACCACATGTAGCATTTGAAGTGAATCTCACTTATGAGGTAGCCTCTTATTCCCTTTCTGATTATGCAGGTTCATCCGAAGAAGACAAAACTGGTATCCGTCAAGGCGTAGTCGATGGACAATAGGTGAAGGTGGAGCCATCTCCTCCTATGTCTTCCAGTCCGATAGGACAACCAGTTCCTGCATCACTTTCTCCTCAGGTAACCTCTGAATTCATTCTCTATTTAGTGACATTCTCTAACTAGTACACTTTTTAGGTTTCCCAAGTGTCAACCATTCAAGAGCCTGTTGGGAACATGGTGCATTCTAATCCCCCAACTTCTGCCACATCTGCTAGCATAGTGGTGCAAGTGCCCGACACTACTCTGCCGACTTTGGCGGCTATCCCTGCCAAGATAGAGGTGTACTTTGAGCGGGAACTTCCTATTCTGCCAATCTCCGGTGCCTTGGATCGAGATCCTTTGGTGCTTACTCGTCATTGATGCCAGAAAGCCCTGGCATCTTGGACTCGATGCAGGTATGGGTACTTGGCATGGCTGCGTCGTTGCCTTCAAATTCCGTTAATTGGGTAAAACTGGAGGTGCTTGCGGATGGGCTAGGTGAGGTTTCAGGGCATCTGAAGATGCTACAAAGCCTCCGAAGTATTAACGATGGTAAGCTGAAAGAACTAGCTGATTTGGAGAAGGAAAGATCGATTTATGTTCGGACTTTTTTGTACGAGAAACACCATTTTGAAGAGGAGACGGCCTATATGGAGGGCCTACGTGTGGATGAGGTTGCTTTACTGGCAAAGCTGTAGCGGATTCAGGAATGTTTGAAGGAGACCCCCCCTCCCCCCCCCCGAGCTGGATAAGGCAGCGGACAGTTTAGCCACCAAGACTTCCCGGAAGGTGCAACTCTATGACAGCGCCCGGGTGCTATATCGTCCTCTGTCTGAATTGTGCAAGAAAAAGATGGTGTTCGAGACAAACTTTTGGCAGGCTGAACGGGGTTTGGAGTGAAATGATCGCCAAGTGGTCCTCTTTGCGGCCGAAACGCTTTACCGATCCACCCTTACTAGAGTCCACCTCCAATATTGATGAGCCTTTAGCTACTGCAGCCGTGCCCGAGTCCTCCAGGGCTGCTATTATGCTGCTGATGAAGTGCTCGTAGATGTTGATGTCTTCTGTGATTTTGTTGTTGATAATTTGCCGTATGCCTAGCGATTTTTACTCACACTGTTCCTTGCAACTTGTTTGGGTATTTTGTTGTTTTTTACTGTTGGCTTGCATTGCCTGACTGCGTATGGGTATCCGAACTAGCATCATGTATGTTTTGCCTATGGTGGTGATTAACTTGTTGCGTACCTCCCTCTTTTGTTTGACTGCTTCTTACGCTTTGATCATCCTCTGATATATTTATGGCTCCCAAATTCTTAGCTAAACAGACCCTTCACCTTCTAGTTCCCACAGAGAGGGATAAAATCTTTTCAAGTGTTTCCCATTAACAAATCCTCTTGATTATTCCCCCTCAGGCTCCACCAATCTATACGCACCATTAGAAGACTTAGCTGATATGATATACGGTCCTCCCACGTGGGGGACCACTTTCCAAGCGTTGCATCTTTCGGGCCTTCCGGGAGGATAGCCTTCCAGACCAAGTCGCCTTCCCGGAAGTCTGGGGCCTTAAACATTTCTGGAAAGCTGATTTAGCCTTGTTCTTTTGATGCCCAATGCGTTCGAGCGTCTGTAATTTCTCCTCGGGTAAAGCATCAAGCTCTTGGAGCAAGGTCTACTCATGCTCTTCCATTGACAACCCATTCACCTTCAAGATTGAAAGTGAAGGTACCGTGATTTCTAATTGAAGTACGGCATCATGTCTATAAGTCAGCCTGTAAGGGGTGCTGCTGATTACAGAGGATTTGGCGTTCTTACATGCCCACAAAGCCTCCTTTAAAGTATCGTGCCACCCCCTCGGATTATCCTCTAGCGCCTTCTTGATAATGGAGATCAAAACTTTGTTCGTCGCCTTGGCTTGTCCGTTAGCCTGATGATAATAGGGAGAGGAGGGGAGTAATTGGATCCCGTACTTGGCTGTGAATGCCTTGACCTTTGCACTCGTAAATGCAGTTCCTTGATCAGTGGTTATCCTCTTTGGAATGCCAAACCTATGAAAAATGTTCATATTAATGAAACGAATAACGTGGTTATGTTTTACCTTGGCTAACGGAACAGCTTCAACCCACTTGGTGAAATAGTATGTGGCTACTAGAATAAAAGAGTGCCCCTTGGAAGACGGGGGGTGGATCTTGCCAAGATGTCTATTGCCCACCCATGGAAAGGCTAAGGGTTGATGATCGAATGGCGTTCTTCCACAGGGACACGTCAAAATTGCCCATGACGCTGACATGTTGGACATCCCCGAGAGTAATCTACGCAGTCCTGCGAGATTTGCTGCTAGAAATAGCCGTATTGGAATATCATCCACTTATAGTTGGTCCGGCTCTATGAGCACCTCCAATGCCTTTGTGGACTTCGGCCATGACCTTTATAGTGTCCCTATGACACAAATAGTGGACTAATGTCCCATCGGACCTCCGTCGGTACAATTCTCCATCGATCTGAATGTATTTTAGAAGTTGATGGCGTACTGCTTTTGACGAGACCTTCCCAGGGTCTATTAGACCTTCGAGTAGCGGATTTCGTCAGTCTGGGTCTTGGGCAACTTGCAAACACTCGAACCTTTGCAATGTTTCTCCTTTTTTGAATCTAGAAGCCCATTGTGCCAAATTGTTTGCTTCCACATTCTCCTCCAAAGGTATGTCTTCCAATGTCAACTCGGTGAGCTACCGAAGAAGGTCACGAGTCTCTTGAAGTAAGTCTTGAAGCCGTGGCTCCTTACACTTGAATTTTTTTAGGGCTTGTCGGATAACCAGTTGAGAATCCCCTCGCACAACGACCTTCTTGACATCCTTTGTGACCAAGAATCTCAACGCTAGTAGTAGTGCCTCGTATTCGGCTTGATTATTCGTAACACCTTGCGGAAGCTAGTGACCAGAGTGCCACACTTCTCCTTCTGGATTGAAGATTACTACAGGCTCCGGCTGCTCCCGAGGTGCTGGACCCATCAAAGGCCACCAACCAGGATTCTAGTCCTATGTAATCCAAATGGACAGCCTGAACCATCCCCGGATGTTCGGCCAAAAAATCTGCAATGGCCTATCCTTTGACGGCCTTAAGGGGCTGATATATCAATATGAATTATGTCAATTTTAATGCCCATTTAACTAAACAGTCTCGGAGGACCGGCCTGTTTAATAAATAGCGTAGGAGGTCAACTTTGCATATGACTTTAGTATCAACCGGCATCAAATAGTATTTTAATTTTGTGCAAGCATTATATAATGATAAACAGAGTTTTTCATTACACGAATAACAAGTTTCCGCTTTGTTTAAGGTCTTACTAAGATAATAAATAGCCGTTCCCGACCTTCGTCATCGCCCTAGGCAATGAGGGAGCCTGTCCTGTCATCGGTTGTGGCTATGTATAGCTTCAGCTCCCTTCCACTGATTGGCGACATTAACACCGGTGGGGATTCTAACGCCTACTTAATCTGGTCCAGGGCTTCTTGCTGGGTTGTCCCCTATTCAATCACCCTTTTATTCCCATGCAACAGCACTGAGAAGGCCTTCATTCTCCCAACCGCGTTGGCGATAAATCTCCTCAAGAAATTGACCTTCCCCATCAAGCTTTGTAGCTCCTTAATGTTGCGGGGGTCCCCAAGGTCCTTGACGGCCTTTGTCTTATTTTTGTCAACTTCAATGCCCATCTGATGCACCAAAAACGCTAAGAAATTTCCTGCTTACACTCAGAAGGCACATTTTGCCGGGTTCATCTTGAGGTCATATCGTCTCAGACGGTGATCAAATGCTCGGGACTTCACGACCACGTCATCTATATACACTTCCAAGCAAATACCAATCAGATCGTGAAAGATTACGTTCATCGCCCTCTGGTAGGTTGCTCCGGCATTCTTGAGGCCGAAGAGCATTACTATCCATTCAAAGATTCCGATTGCCCCGGGGCAACCGAAGGCTGTCTTATGGGCATCCTCCTCAGCCAGATATATTTGATTATAGCCAAAGTAGCTGTCCATAAAAGAGAGAACCTTGTATCTTGCCGAAGAATCCACGAGCACGTCAGCAATGGGCATCACGTATTCGTTCTTTGGCATCGCTAAATTGAGATTCCGGAAGTCAATGCAGATCTGGATCTCTCCGTTCTTTTTTACCATTGAAACAATGTTAAAGATTCACTCTGGGTACCTTCAGGTTCGAATAAAGTTAGCTTTAAGGATTTTTTCAACCTCCTCTTTCATTTTCGGCAATATTTCTAGGTTGAAATGCCTATGGGGCTGTTTGTGCTGCCGAAACAAAGCTTTAGTAGGTAATCGGTGCTCCACTAAGCTCCTTGATAGCCCCGGCATCTCATGGTAATCCCTTGCGAAGCAGTGTTTGAATTCCAGGATCAAAAAATTATTTTCCCCCTTCTTTTCGACATCTAACAAGGTTCTAACCCGTGTCGTCCGAGGGGTTGTCTCATTGCCTAGATTGACCTCCTCTAATGGGTCTTGTGCCTCAAAAGGTGGAGCAGCTCTTCAAATCGGTGAATGAATATCCTCTTCGTCCTGATTGTAATTAGGCGGCTGGAGGGACGACCCTGCCTACATGTTAAGATTTTGAACGGCGTGCTTTCCAGCTTGTATAAATGGAAAAGCAGACTTTCTTGCTCTCACCTCCAGGTCCCGCACAATCAGGTCATCAGATATGATAACTACCTGAATTATCAGGTCGTGTGTCGGCCTCAACTTTGGTCTCGAATCCTTTCATGATTAAATTGCACTCTTTCCATATTCTAGCATCCTCAAACATCATGGACAGAAGGTATACATTGGGGAATAATAAACGGCCTCTGTGAAATGCACTTCCATGGCCGGATCAGCCTCGGCCTCCACCATCTCAACTTGATCCGTTCCAAAACATAACTTTATGGTGCAGAGTCGAAGAGACGCATTGGATGATATAGATCCAATCCCTCCTAAGAATGGCCAAATAAGTTGGCTTCTCTTCAATGACGAAGAAAGCCATCTGGTTTGTCCTCATTCCGACCGACACTTTCGCCACCAATACGCCTGCTGCCGTATATGCGTTTCCAATGAACTCAGTTATCCGCATGGTTGTCGGTACAAGTTCTTTCCGGTTTTTTTCAGTATTCCTTAGGGTAGACAAGGTCAGGACATTAACGGATGCCCCTCTATCGACTAGCACCTTGCTGACCGTCCGCCTATCAAGATGAACAGTAAGAAACAAGGGTTTCAAATGACGCATATTCTCGTCCGTTAATTTCTGGAAGATCACTAGTTCTGGAACTTCTTTTGGAATGTCAACATCTTGTTCTTCCCAACACAATGAACCAGCTCCTTCCAGCAGAACATTTCCCTGGAGATAGTCGGGCTACGCTGGAGGAGCTTCGAATTCTCGAGGTAAAACACCTATTGAATTAACCTTGAGGTCCCCCCATAGTGCGAAGGTCATTCAAGGTCTTGATCATAAGATATGATATTCAAGGCAGCCTTCGATGCTTCATTGCAATTAAGGGCATCGATCATCGGCTCATCCTTAGGAATCTTTTCTTCCCTGAGTTTCACAGTAAAATGAGGTTCGGTAGGGTACTCAACCCTTGCAAAAAACTCCTTTCGGTCTCCACTCTTTTCGGGTCTGAAGCTGGTGATGAAGGTCCTCCCGACCAAGCTTTGGCCTTCTAGTGACGACTTCTTCCGAGTCCTGGGGCTTCTGCCCCCAGCCCTACCTTCGTGATCATCAGCCTGCTGCCCCCCATCCAGATGCCCCTGGGAGAGGCGAGTGGCCAAGCGTTGTCGTTGCATTCTCCTTTTTTGAGTCCTAGTAGGAGGTTGCGTCACCTGCTCCTTCCGATTCCTTGTCCAAATTCTGTCGTTCAGAGCTTTCCTATGAAGGCGGGTCTGATGGAGTGTGATTACCACCTGATCTACGGAGTTACTCACCAAACCTCACCTCATTTTTCGAAACTCACTTCTGCAAACGTGTTTTTTAGGGAAAGTCTGTCCCACACCAAACTCTTTCTCGGAGGTTTGATCGACCTTCCAAGCCGTTCAAACACTGGCCTTTGAGAGCCTGTTCCCCTACGATCTGTTCTAAAACCTGAACCTGACTTTCAGGACCTAGTTGGACGCACCCCGACGATGTTTATCGGTGCAGGGAACAGTTCTGTATCTACTTTCATGTCAGGTTTTTCGGCCAGCTTGAGGTTGCCTTCTTTGATGGCTTTCTGGACCGAATTTTGGAAGGCGATATAGTTACCAATCTGATGACCATATACTCCATGCCACCTACAAAATGATTTTCCAATCAGTTCCTCTTCAGTCGGCATTTTGTGACATTCCTTGAGGCGGAGCTGATTGTCTTTCAGCAGTACTAAAAAATCTGCTCCGTCCTTGCGATGTCGAACGAATAAGATATCTTAGGGTTCACGTCCTTCCGTTGGGGCGGCTTAAGAGCCAGACATGTATATGCCTTCCCCTATGAAATTTCAGCCATAGAGGTCTCTTCCTGCTCCTTCTCGACTTTGGCAGCCTCTTCTTGGGCAAAGATGTAGTGATTTCCACCCCGAAACTTTTGATTTTGGGCCGTCTAAGCCTCTTTTACGAGTTGCTTGGCCTTCACAGCCTTGGATGTCAGCTGCCAAAAGTCATGGTATTCCTAGAGGGTTAGTTTATCACGCAACTGATGCATCATGTTGTCAATTGCCATGTTCACCACAGGGTTCTCGGGTATACGAACTTGGCACCTACTTTCCGACCTCCTGAAGCGTTTCAAGAATTGTTCCACAAAATCGTCACCATGCTGACATAAGTTGGTCAAATCTTAGATGGTCACCCCTAAAAAAGGGTTGTTAAAGCGCTCATGAAAGGCTCTCTCCATATCTGCGCATGTATGGATGGAATTCGGAGGTAGCGAAGTGTACCACGAAAAGGCCGGACCTCTCAAAGACAAAGAAAAAAGCTGGAGTTTATACCAGTCATTATTCTTGTATTCTCTTCCACATTGAGCCGTAAATAAGCTAACATGTTCGATAGTGGAGCGGGAATCCTCCCCCGAAAACAATGTGAATTCGGGGATCCGATAATTGCGAGGCAGTGGGTGATCCAAAGGAATGCACCCCGAGAAAGGGCGTTGGTAATGAGGCCTAGCCGGTAAGCGAATAGGATCACCATAGATTTTGCGAATTGCATCCTCACCCGCCTGAGGATTTATGGTTGGTGGTGGCAGCACTTTTGTCTGCACCCCAGGCTGCTCAAGAGCTGCCTGAGTGGGCTGCAGATTGCAAGCTGCCGGCTGCAGGAAGACCTGATGAGTAAGTTCTCGTTGAGGGAAACGAACTCTAGGGCCTTCCACAGCTTCCCTGATTGTTGCGGTCTGTTGTACTGGAGGATTCCTGGGGCCTGCTTGGGCAGAAAACTCAAAATTCTATTGTGTCCCGGAACCAACAGCAAGCTGACCTTCCGTAGCCGCTACCTATCCCTTAGTGTACTGGGATGTCATTGGAACAGTTCCACCTCGTCCCCACATCGCCTCAGAAGGTGTTGGAGCGAATGAGGGTGCTGGAATTGTTGTCAGCCCGGCCCCTCAAGTATTGGCCCTAGACCGGGAGGTGGGGCGTTGAGGGCGGCTCCGGTTAATGACGAGTTCGGGTGCCAATACGGAGCGGATTATACTCACTCGAAGGTCATGTCAAATCCACCTGTCAGAGGCGGCCCAAAGGAGGCCTACCAAGCCGTCGCGCTATATTCTCCGAGTTTCCGGACATTGAACGGAGGTTTTCCAGATCCGTTCTTGCCGAAAAACATAACGTGAACATAATTGAGCGCCTGGGAAGTCAGACCTACCCCGGAGCTGGCCACGAAGGTGATAGGAGGCTAGGTTTCCAGCAGATTGAAGCTGGCCATTGGGGCTTTGCCTTTTCGAGCTTCCTCTTCCCGAAGCAAAGCAAATTCAATTCGAATAGTGGGCTTCAACACGTCCCCTAATGTACTTGGAAAGTTCCATGGCAGATTCGTGGAGGGACGACTAAATCTCCCCCCGTATTT